ATCAATATTCGGCCTGCAACGTGGGGACTATAATCAAGCCAGTTGACTATACACAGACACCCTGTGGGCATTGAGTGTTTCTGATTTCCTGCAGTTGAATTTCACAATATTAATTCATCGACTTTTTTCCTTCTTCTTCTTCTTCTTCTTCTTCTTCTTCTTCTGAAGGTGCAGGGTGCAGCAGGAGAAGGTTGACATGTAGGTGGATGGGGAGTGACGTGTCATGTTTGACTTGAGAGGTGGAAGGTGGGGGAAAGCAATGATATGGAGTTATGGATAATGGCTAAGCCATAGGGCTGCAACTTCAACACAACAGAGCTATCTTTCAGCTCCTCAACCATTCCTATTTGTAATTATTACATGGACGCATCACATTAATGTTTAGCTGTCTCCCTGTCTCCATATCTTCCCACTCTTCGATTTTATTAGTGGAAAAATGCTCAAGTTGATTAATATACTCTTCCACCTCAAATTATGAAACATTTTTATTAAAAAAATTATTTTAAAATATAAAGTATTTTAAATAGATTAAAATTTTATTAAATATATTAATTTTTAATATTAATTTTTTTATAATTAATTTTTGTTCTTTTTTTAATATATTAAATTATAGGTGTTTTTAAAAATTTATATTTTTATTTTAAAAAATAAAATTGTTAAGTGTATTTAATGAGATTTGTTGATATTGAAATTTTATATAAAAGTGTTTTATAATTTGAGATAGAGGGAGTGCTATGTTTAAAAATATAAATTATTTTTAATTGAATCACACTCTAATAAATTAATTGACTATCTTTAAATTTATATTATTTTTAATATTTATTTTTATTTAATATAATGTTTTACTTAAAAGTGAAAGGTTAAGTAATTTGCTGATTAAGTGTAATTTTAGGGAGAAAACTCGTTAATTACATATTAAAAAAATAAAAATATCTTTCTATATCTTTAAATATCTAACCTGGGAGTAAGTCGCTTCTAACTTTTCGCACAATAAATGAAAGCTAATTAAATTATATTCCCTCCCCTCCGTTTAATATGACAGGATATTTTGTTTTCGAAACATCATGTTAATATATGGCATTTTAAATTTTTCAACGTCCAACCAATAAATTTTTTTTTTAAATATACTCCTTTCATTACAATATTTTTATCTTTTAAGATGTAATCATTATCTTTTTTTAAAAATATCCCTATTAATTAATAACTTTATATTTATTGTAGGGTATTTAATAGAAATACATAGAAAAAGATGAGGTTAATTTGAAAGTAAATAACTATTTTATTAGGATGAGATTTGATTAAAAATATCTTATATTTTTTAATAAAGGGAGTATATATTTAATTATGAGTTTAGTTGCTAAGATTTTATAGTCAATATAAACATGAAAAAAGTGTGTGATTTTAAAATTAATTAATTAATTAATTAGAAGTGTACCTCTCTGGTCTTATTTATAAATCACTTTCAACATATTTCACTAGTATAAAAAATTTTTAAAATTCATTAACTCTATCTTAAAATTTAATAAGTTTTTAACTTTACTTCTATTAAATACTCATACTTCAATAACAATTTTCTTTTTCCAACATTCAATTGAAGGTAAAAGAAAAAATTTGTAAAAAAAGTTCAATTATGTAACTTATAAATGAAATAAAAAAAATTTCTCTCTTAACCTTATAAATAAGATCAAAGGAAGTAATTCAGTTAAAAGTCCTTTATTTCCTTTGGATCATAGTGCATACATTGGTTAATTCATGGTTCTAAAAAAATGTTAATTAAAACCTTAACATTTTTAAAAAATTCATCTTTTAACTGAATTACATATTTATTAAATATTCTATATAAGTGTTTTGACAGTAAAAATTGAAATTCCAATACATTATTATTTTTAAATAATAAATAAAATACAGGTATAATTAAACAAATAATTATAAAAATTACTTAATGCCTTATATCATTGACAAAGTAAGGTTTTCAAAAAATACTTCTTATCATAGTTATAAGGGAGTGTAATGCTAAATGGATGGAGTTGGTGTTGTCTGAACAAAAAAAACTTTTGAAATTATTATTATTAAACACATCATGTCTAAAAATATCTTCTCACTTACTCCTTCTATTTCTATTTGTAAAAGAAAACAATTACGTCATATAATTTAAAAAAACTGGCTAACTATATTAATTGCATATAAAAATAAGAGAATTAAATTATAATATTTTTTATTATTTATGTTAATCAAGCATCGTTAATTATTTTTTATGATTGTAAATGATGAAATTGTGAGAGATAATTTAAAAAATTTATAATAAAAAAAATTAAAAATGATAGCTTCTCCTATAAATAAAAATAGAGGGAGTACATGCAATCTTCTATTCTATTTATAGAAATTGAGAACAAAGTAAAATTAAAATAAAGCAATTAATGACCAAATTGTTAACGCAAAGGAACTTGCAAAAAACAAAAAAAGACTATATATCAAAATTTCCCTGACCCATACATAAGAAAAAAGTCACGTAAACTGAACAATTCTTCTGAAAATATTGGCGTAGCATTTCTCTCGAACGCCTATCCGGTTCAGCTGAATACATTTTTTATTTATTTATTACGCACCCATTTTAAATAACCTGAAAAAAAGAGGGAAACTCCAATATTTGTTTCCTGATTTTTTAAAACAAAATAAAGTTTGATGGGAATGCAGTATTAGTTATAAATATTAAAATAATGCAATGTCAAGGTTTGAATATCCATTAAAAAAAATGTCCACATTTCATGTTTGATACTGTATCGATTAGAATTATCTCTATAAGAAAATACTCCTCCCATTTTTATATATAAAATATTTTTTGCATCCCAATAAAATTTTATGATGATTAACATTATAACGGTGGTAGAAAAAATATATAATTAATAATTTATTTTATTTTTTAAGACAAAAATAAAATTATTTAATTATTTAAAAATATTATTATCATATTTTATATTTAAAAATAAAATAAATTTTTTAAAAAATTTTATATATAAGGATGGAAGGTGTAGCTGTGAGATTTTTTAAAAAGAAAAAAAAAAACCCAACGTCATACTAGCAAGGGCGGAAATGGGGAAGGAATTAAACACGACGCCAACTTTTGTACCACTGTTGACTAACCAAAACCACTTAATAATGACAATCAGCCGACCTCACTGTGCCCTTCGGCCTTCTTTCGAAAAGAAAATTAGAAAAGAGTACGAATGAAACAGGGCGAAAAGCCCTGCCTTGAGGCAGGCATCAAAGCTGTATTGTTTATGGTTGATTAAGTTGGTTACGATTTGTATGAGGAATAACAAATATGCCTCCTCAATTATTTATTTTATTTGTGGGAAGGACTGAGACAGAGGCAGTTGAAGTGGGCATCTTCGGCCAAAGTCTTCCCTAAAAAAATTCTGAACTAATCAGAGCATCAAGAACAACACGACAACATGGTCATGGAACCCTCCATGTGAGACATAATTATGCGGTATGTGAATGGCCGTTTCATTATAATACAATTCATCCATCATGCCTTCATAATCTTCCAAACCCACTCGCTAATTAATTAGACAAGCTACTTTTATTTTCTTAACCAGGGAGATGAACTTCTGTCTCCGCCAGATTCGTACTTTTTGGATGTCAACTTATACACTCTTTCATAAAATAAAATAAAATAAAAAAGCACGCAAATTGGCTGCATGTCGTTTCATCTACCTGTGTTCATAAAAAAGACAAGCTAAGATTACTTTCGTACCCATTACCCATTTACTGTTGCTTGGGCATTACTTGCCAAAAGGTCATAGGTTTTGAGGCTCTGTTGGCTTGACGATAATAAAATCTAATGCGTCCCCAGTCATTCCCTTACTTCATTGTAAAATTTGTCCCATTTGATGAATCACGTTTCAAATTATACCATGCGTAGAAGTTATCATTTTATAAAAGCAATTATAGTCTATGCAATATATATGTATGTGTTCAACTGTTACAGAACAAGTTTTTTCCTCCCATCTATCTTAAATTATAAAATATTTTTAAAAAAAATTTAACATTACATAATATAAGATACTTTGATAATGTTAACACTTCATTAAATATATTTATTTTAATATTATTCTTGTTCTCTCTATTTAATTTTTATTTTTCTTTCTTTTTAATATATTAAATAAATATTATTTTTAAAATTTATATTTTTATTTTAAAAAAAATTTGCTAAGCATATCTAATAAAATTTATTAATATATAAATTTTATTTAAAAATATTTTAAAATAATTTGAGATGAATGAGTAAATTTTATTGGCGAACCACATAAAGCAGAGAGGTCACAGGGGAGGCGTCCAATGGGACGCTGGCCGTCGCTGCTTCAGTCTAATCGGACAATGACACACCAAGCTAATCTGATCTAAACTTTCAAACAGCAAATAATTGACCTTTTCCACCAAAATTCTGTAAATCACCCCTAGAATTCAGAAACTTGATTTGTCAGGACTTACTCATAATCTTTTTTGATTCAATAACTGTGAACTGTCATTGGCTCGTCATCAAAGTGAAATCTGATTAGTTGAAATACTGGTTGGGTTTAAATCAGTTTTCAGAACCCCTCTTTTTCTTCCTTTTTGATTTTTTTTGAACTACCCATTCATTATTATTATATGTCTCTCTGTCAATTATCATCTGTTCTTCCACCTCTTCCTCTTGGCACCAGCATTTTGAAACCAGAAAAGGGAAAACCAAGGTCCAACTGTCAATAGATCCACATAGAGAATAGCTTTAACAATTTTTCATATATTCTTCGTTATTCTATCTTTCGCCAAATCGGACATATCCTTTTAATCATGATATTAAATGATGATTAGCTAGCACCGTTCACCCAATTCTAGACAACCATCAAAATTGTTCTTCCCGAGAGTAGTGAAAAAAGTCAAGCAGTATAACCATTAATAAAATTAAGAGAGTTATACTTTCGAGCATTTGGTACCAACATAATAGGAAAGTGATCAAACCACAAAAACCGATGTACGGTGTAATTTGCCTTTAATTGCGGAAACCGATTCCTGGGTGGTTGATGTCCTTGATGACTATTACAAGACAATGTCCAGGAACAGTTGAACAATGATGTTTGCCCTGCGGGCCAACTTATATTGATTCGGCAGAATCATAGTTCCTACCTTGGAGAAACTAGCTATAACATGTTTAAGCCCAAGGGATCAACTTTATGAAGTTGAAACTGACATTTATAACACCAATGATCATCAGAAAATTGTTACGCTTCCAGTCGGTTTCTATGATCCATAAAGGAGAACAAGGCGAATCAAGTTAATATGCTTGCACAGTCAGGTAGCTTTTCGAGCTTCATCCCTGATGGATATAAGGTTCTTTTTTATCTCATTGCAGAGCCTACTCTCTATCAGACCAACAGGCATCCACATTTTTGGCTTTACATCGACGATATACGAAAGAGTTGTCTTGCTTTCTTGGACTTCCGATTCTTCTAGACTTTCACCGTTGGAGTTGGACTGCAAAACCATAATGGTGGATGGCGTTAACAATGTATGCTAGCTATATAATTCAAATCTGTTGCTTATATGGTTTCAACACCATGAAAATTTTCAAGTCTTTCAGTTCAATTTGCTTGGCATCATTCAATTCAAAACTGATAAGCATATTCAAAATTGAAGATGCTATCATGCGCAAAAGGTCAGAATAAAGGGCTTAATATATATATATATATATATATATAAGAGACTTATCAGTATAGGTGGTAAAGATTGTCAGAACTCTGAAGTCATGACCCTAAGACCCTCATGACATGGATTTAAGTTTCCCAGGTATGACACAGTTCACTTGGCTGTTGCCAACAATTTTAGCCGTAAGTTGTTCCTTGATTCTAGAAACCACGTGATGGTTGTTCCTGGTGTGTGTGTGTGTGTGAGCATGTATAAGAAAGATTGCAGAATCTAGTAAGATATTACCTGTAAAATAGACCATTTTCCTTCAAAGAGTTGAAAATCTCCTTCAGTCATCTTGAATTCAATGTCACGCTTCATACCAGAAGGAAGACTCTCCAATTCCTTCTCATAACAATCTACAACTCCTTTAGCATTAAATTTTAATCCAAATGCCAAGTTCTGCTCTCCAACCTGTTCAACTAAGTAAATAACAGTATGTATTCCAAGCAAAATGTATGAACAAACTACAAAGGAAGATCTTAAGAAGATGAATTCTTTAGCTTAAGACACAAGAGAAAGAAATGTAATGTAATATTGAGAGAACTCAGCAAGACAATCATGATAATGACTCTTATTTCTATATCCATGATGCAACATTGACTCAGACTGTGTGACCAACATATTCTTCTCTAACGTCAATCAAAGATTCTCCAAAAAAACTGATACCAAAGTGACTTTTTATGTCCTCTGTTGACTCCAGGAGAGCTGTTTAAAAATATGCCATAAGATCATTATTAGTGTATCTGTTACACAGTGGGTTACTAGTTAAGTAACTAAATGTTTAGTTGTTGAGTTGGTTAGTAAGCTGTGCACGTGTCTCACTCATATGAGTCTTCAATTGTAAGTCTCATATCAGATTGAATAAGATTCAGAAATACAGATCCATTTCTCTCTCTGAGCGTTGCTCTTGGCAAGCATATATGATATTCACTGAGTAGGATGTTTCATATCCCAATTACAAGTGTCAATTATCAGCAGTTATGCAATTCAACAACTTCAGGGAACTGTTTCTGTTTCTTGCTGATATGATCTTGATCCCTTAGAGATCAAGATTCTGTCCGCAAGAAAGAGTTGTTATCTACCCTTAAACCTAAGTCTCTTTACTACATTCTTTGCGTGTGTGTGCCTGTTTGGTTGATCGTTCATCTCATTATTTGAACATCGGCATTTAAATTCACATAAAGACCAACACAAGCAATCTCTACATATGAGCATTGAGCAATACGACTAGTGTATAACTAATATTCTCATAACTCCTTTTTCTCTTCAACAAGGAGGGTCAGGTTCAGAAGGGACGGGGCGGGTTTGATCAAAGCCTGAGATAACCCTAAAATACATTAAGTCACCACAAATTCATGATCTATGATCTGCCAAAATTATGCAGCCAATCGCAAAATTGCAAACTTCAAAATACCAACTGCTAGGAACTTTGACCAATATTACCAACCTGAAAAAGTCGGGCATAATTTTCTCCTTTTTCAAGCAATTCGCTGACAGCAAGACCGGGAATGAAGTCCGCCAACCTTTCATAATCAGTCAAGATATTCCAAACGGTGGCAAGGGGTGCGTCAATGGGAATCCTGGATTCAATTCTGCGCGAGTTCTTCTCCAAATTCTTCACCTCAATGTACACCTCACCCTCATCAAGAAATTCTGACTCTTCATCTACATCGATAGAAGAATAAGCACCCCCATCAGTGCCAGATGCATAATTTACAAAATTCAGATAGTCTCTGTCTTCTTCGTCATCACTCAAGAAGGGGTACTGGGATTTTGAGCTACAATACAAGCAAGGGCTCGATTTGAAGGAGCATGATTTCGGAGAAGAGGAAGCAAAAACAAATAGGTGGGGCTGAGAAATCGACTTAGAGGGGTCAGAAAGCAAAAGGGAATGATTGATAGGACTAGAAGGCGGTGCTTGCAAGAATAGAAAAGAATAGGATGATTCGGACGAGAGTGGAAAGGCGTGCATTTTGGGCGCTTCCAGTAGTACCAGAGAATCCAAATACAAAATTTACGAGGGAACCCAAAAAAAAAAAAAAAAATCAGAGCGGAGTTATGCTAATTCGTGGTCCAGTTTTCGCCTGAAAATCTGAGAGGATGCCATTTTTTATCGATCTCGGAGGCATCTTTATTTTGAGTTTGATTGGCTCGTTTTTTTTATTTTTGAGCGAAGTTATTTGACAAGGCTTCCATTCCCACTACAGATTCTAATTCTCGAGGCTTTTTGAAGAAAGAGGCCCGAGAGCCCAGTAAAAAGAAGAACAGAAATTAAAAATTAATTTTATAAATTCTCTGTAAAATATTAATCTTATGAAGAATATATATTAACACAAATCTGAAATTGTTGCATGTAATAAATGATTAATGACCACGCCACATTTTAACTTAAATTTTTTATTTATATATCTTTTACTCATCGCAGCTTTATTTGGCACGAGATTTTCTTACTTCTTACTCTTAACTGTATTATTTTAATTCATAGAAACTAATGTATAATTGGGTTCCACCATTTTCCCTAATTAATTAATGGACAATATCGTCCCCCAAGCTAACGACCAAAAAAATTTAGCCTGAGAATCATTTACTCCTCCTCGCACAGGGGCACAAATCCTTACCGACCCCGGCTGAGAAATCGACGTGGGTACTGTTTCTCTACCCACTATCACCGAAAATTAAAGGTGACGGTAAAAGAAAGTACAAGATAAAAAAAATAAAATAAAGGAAGAATTACATTAAACGTAAACTTAATTATCATAAGCTCTATTAATAATTTAGCTAGGGTTATTTTTTTATTTCAACGATCTTAATTAAGTTGTTAATGAATTTTATGGTAATTGACTTTTTTAACGTGGGACCTGTATGTAATTTTTTCTGAAATAAAAGCAACATTGCCTGCAACAACAACCTCTATCGGTTTGTCCACCACTCAAACCGTTGAGCTGTGGTTTCCAGTCACCTAATACTTGAGCTATTGAGCAGCGAGATTGCTTTGCCTTGGCCCTGAAACCCAGAAACCTTCGCCCGATTTCCAGGGAGCGAGCAATCCTTCTCTAATCATATTGTTAGCCATGGCCTCTTCTTTCTCAGCCCAGTTGGTGCAAAGTCAGAACTCTCTTCCTCGTCTTTATCACTTTCAGGTTACTATCTTCTATGTCATCTCTCTTTTCTCTTGCACTCCTTTTCGGGAATCTACTTATCGACCATTTTTATGTTAGGGTCTTCTGAAGTAGGTGTGGAAAAATGGAATATGTTTAAAATTCCTGGTTCTGACAACAAAATGTAGGTCTTCTGGGGCTCACTGTCTGAATATTACAACAATTCGAGTATTAGCTATATATAGTCTACATTTCTCACTTGTGCTGTACCTCTTGTATGCAGAGAATAGGGTCATTCGGCCTTCTCTTGTCATTGCATCGAACATATTAATGTTAGCTTACCATAAAACGCGCAGCGAAAGCTGACCTTCTATGTGCATCATAACGGCAAAAACTTTGTTTTGTCTTTTCAGGGGAATTGTAGCCAGGATGTGTCGAAGGTTCGAAGGTCACATATGATTTGTGGCAGCTCAAAATCACAGCTTGACCACACTAAAGCATTGGCATCAAAATCTCATTATGCCTTAACTTTTTCTGTCACCAAACAATCTGGAGTAAAATCCATCTCATATAAGAGAATGACATGTGTCAACGCTAACCAAAATGTAAGTGTACTATTCAGACAATTCAGTTTGGGAATTTTAGAGAAGACTTTATAGCCAAAGTAAGTCGATGGAAAGAGAATAATACCTTTAGGATCTCTTTTACTTTGCGTTACGCATCTGGAGAAGCGTAAGCACCTAATATGAAACTATCTGTTCAAATCAATTCCTGGAATTTGAAATATATGTTTATCTTAGGACAGGGATTCATATATTCGTTCAGATTGATGCTATTTCAGTTTTCCATTCCCACATTCAAAACTGTGTTCATTTCTCTAACTGGAAAATTCTTGGCTATCCTTTTTTTCCTGTGACTTAGATGCTGGCTTCTTATCTTACATTGTTCTGTTACTTTTAGGTCCTAGAGCTGCAAGCCAAAGTGACCAACAAGTGTTTCTTTGATGTAGAAATTGGGGGTGAATCTGTTGGCAGGATTGTTTTGGGCCTATTTGGAGAAGTTGTGCCAAAAACTGTTGAAAATTTCCGTGCTCTGTGCACAGGTAAGCCATAATCAGATTTCATGACATTGCTCTTCTAATATTTTTACTGTGAACTGGATAGTGGTAGGGGGGGAGTTTTCAGAATTTTCAGATAAATTTGAAAGATCTTTGTGCAGGAGAGAAAGGATATGGTTACAAGGGATCCCACTTCCACCGTATAATCAAAGATTTCATGATTCAGGGAGGGGACTTCACTGAAGGAAATGTGAGCTCTATTATAGCTGTTTACATGTCTCAGTGTATACATTAGTGTGGTGTTTACTTTCACACTGCCAAGGAAGTTGAGTGTTTAATCAGTTATCACTAAAATATATGCTGCTAATGGCCTCAGGGAACTGGAGGAGTCAGCATCTATGGCTCTAGTTTTGAAGATGAGAGTTTTGCCTGTATGTCCCATCTACTGCCTGAATGATAAGTTGTACAAAACTTCGATACTGCGTATTAATATGTTCTCCTTCTGTTGTTTTTAGTTTTTCCACTTAGATAAAAGTTTAGTTTTTCTCCTTAGGATTGATCTTTTGGTGGCAAAAAAAGGCATATTAATGTCTTACTAACATATAGCTCCTCCTTGCAGTGAAGCATGTTGGTCCTGGAGTTTTGAGCATGGCAAATGCAGGTCCTAACACTAATGGTAGCCAATTTTTCATTTGTACTGTAAAGGTGAGTGTGTTTGCTGCACTGCCTTTTTTTTTTTTTTTTAATTATATGTAAGTCTCACTCAACACAATTAATTACTCTCAAGTTCATTGACAATTGAGGTTTGTGTTGTCAGTCTCCTAAGCTCAGTTGTCAATAGACTTAGGAGTTATTAATGGTGTTGAATGGGACCTTAAAGTAATTCTCCTTTTTTTTTTATAAGTTACAAATTAATGTCAGAGCATTCTGTGCAGTTCAAGGGTCTGGCAACCAATTAATTTGCCACAGTGACCTAACTGAACTCTGCCGAGAAGTAAAAGAACAGGTTTTTTTGAAAAAAAAGAAGTGGAATTCGTCTTTTTATAGTTCAGTGCAGAATCACTTGCTCAAACACGGATGAAGTAAAATTTTCTAGGCCATCACTTTTGCTGGTTTTATCCTCCTTACAGATACCATTGCCTAATTGCCTCCACATCCTGGCCAAATTAAAATTATTATAATGTTATCTGTCGAAAAATCACTTACCAAGTTAGGTTGATGATTTTCTTTTAGGCTTTGCTTTAGATGTGTCATTATTGGCTCCATCTTTTTGGCTTGATTGGTAAGAACAAGTGACTGGTAATGCATGCTATCCGATTTTAATGCTCAGTTATTGAGCTAACTCGATATCTGCTTTTGTAACCATGTATTCTAGCTGTCAGGTTTGGTATTTGCAATTGACATGGTTTCATGATGTAGACTCCATGGCTGGACAATCGTCATGTTGTTTTTGGGCATGTCATCGATGGAATGGATGTTGTGAAGACACTTGAATCCCAGGAGACAAGCAGGTACGATGGCCCTCAGAAGCCGTGCAGAATTGTTAATTGCGGAGAGCTGCCTCTAGATGCTTGATCCTTCCTCTTAAGTGCATCAAAATCTTTTGCAGCGACAATTTTCAATTTTTAGTCTTCTGCATCTTTTGAGACGGTTACTCTTTGCTTAAGGGAAAACATAGTGTCATTTAAGTGACATTGGTAGTAAAGGAGAGGCTTTAACTTTGCCGAGGGAGCTATTGTCAGGATTGATACAAACGATATTTTATATGTATTAAACCGAATCTCATAATTGCAGTACTTTCTTCTTCTCTTACAGATTATGCTTTTTGCCATTACAAGATACCCATACATAGCATGCGGTTAATTACATTATCAATATAGTTAAGCATTAGTGTCTGCGGAGACAATGTCGAAAGTGTTGTAAATTTGCTTGTTAAGCAAGTGAAACCTATGCTTGGACCATGGTTGCAACTGCTTGCGATTTGAGCACTTTCTGTTCGTCGCCCTCTTCTAGCTCCCATATTTCTGGTAATGCTTCTTTGATATTGTGGATGCTTCTCAGAGCATGGTCTGCTCCTGGCACCAGATCTGAACGCCCCACCTGTCACAGTATGATAGATTAGGTGTCAATATATATATATATATATATATTTAAAGTAGTATAATTTCTTGGATAAGCTTTTCTCCTGGAGAACATGATGCAAATTGTGTAGCTTACGATAACCGTGTGAAGTCCAGCTACTTTTCCACTAGCAATGTTTCTAACACTGTCATCGAAAAAAATCTGCAAAAGGCAGAAAAACTTGGAATGATTCCTAGATTCATTGAAACTGACGAACTAAATATGTGAAGAAATCTTCGAGTGTTTGATATAAAGCAAGCAATCAGTCTAACCGTTTTCCTAGGATCCACGTTAGCAATCCGGATAGCAGCTTCAATGGCTTGCATGGAAGGCTTGCAGAGTATCCGTGACTTGGAGCTGAAGCCTCCATTTTCCGCTATGTCATCAGCATCGTTGAAATTTTTAGGAGGATTTAGTGTTTCAAAGCATATTATGCCCTCGAAACAATCTTCCAAGCCCAATCTCTTGAGAACTTGAATTGCATGTGCTTGATCTGCATTGGTGAAAATCTACAGAGACCGTTTTGAATTCTTCAGAATTTTTATATAAATGTTCATCATGGGACTGACTAATGTCGAGTATGACATACTATTTTACGCTGAGGCATGGAAAGCAGGAGATTCCTTAACACAGGATCAGGCTTCAGCTTATCATATGGCAATCTCCCATGCACGTAAGCATGGAACTCATCATTGTCGAATTCATAATCAAGGGCCTGAGGAAAAAATGCTCATGAATTCATCGTCCCAGGTATTGGTAATGAATACGTGAATGTTTTTTTTTTTTTTTGAATGAAAAAGGCCATGGGAAGAACCATGCAAAGACAAAATACGTGAATGTTTCAATTCTTAATGCAAGGTTTAGTTTACCTTAAGTCCAGCCATAGTGGTCCCGTATTCTATGTACAAATCCAAGCACATCTTTGGAACTTGACTCTCTTCAATGCCCAAGCGTTCCAACATATAGTCTGTAATCAAATTTGGTTAACCTGTGATCTTTTAACATATGAACCAGAACAACAGAACCGTGATGTTTTCTGGCCGAGCTAAAGATTTACATTTGTACCTTGTATGTTCTTTCGACATGCCAGATTGAGACCTGAGCTCGGTGGATAGAGGGTATCATCCATATCTGTAGAAGAAGAATTGGAGCCACGTATTAATAACTCCCTCTTTTATCTGTTTCGGTATACAGTAGCTAATTAATTTTTCGATACTCTGCGTGAAAAATCTGATTGCATCACTCCTCTGTTATTAGGAAGGCGTTAAAGCAAACCAAAGTTTTACTGAAAATCTCAATTCCGTTGAAGTCTCACCAGTTTCAGTCTTCAAATTTAAGAACTTAAAATGCCCTATAGCTAAATAATATTAATTTTCTTTCAAATAAAGAGAAAACAAAAGATAACCATTGAACTCTTGATTCTCTTTCCGCATTTTTTTCTCTTGAAGTAACACAAAATAAAGCCAGACTATTGAGCGTCTTACTACTTTAATTTCCTCTCTGTTTTGTGATCAAAACCATTGGAGTGTTTGCATAAGATATGATCACAAGCCACATAATAATAATAATTTGGAGCCAGAGGTATCAGGAATTTAAGCAAAACTAGTTTCGCCATCTACCCCTGATGAAACATAAAAAGAATATATATTAATAGGGTTGCCTCGAGCATACCGAAAAGCAAGCACTGATACTTGGATCGTCCGGTCATGCGAGCTGCATCCATCTTGCAGGATTCTTAATCTGCAACAAGGTTCAACGAATTTGTTAAATTACCTCTGAATACAAGCCTGTTCGATTAAACACTAATTTCGTATCATTTATTCTGGTACTCTTTCTCTAAGATCACGCCTGGAAAACCTCAACGCAAGTAAAGGTGTCCTTTCTTGCAGTAGCTTGACAACTAACATGCTAACAAAGCTGATCCCATATGAATTTTCTACCTTTTCCGGAATATAAATTTCCCACTACTGCCAGCAGAATCGCAAAAATTTGAGATGGCAGGCCAACAAACTGACCACATGATATCCAAACCTTTAAATCAATGAAGAAGATCAGAGTAGTCTTGAGCAATCGCAAGTGTTTAGTAATATCAAGGGTCATGTCGAATTAAATGCACGAAGCATGTCCATGAATGTGAACCACAAACTGCTATAAAATAGGGTGGAGTGGACAATGATGAAGCAAGAAAAAATATAATAGGTGCGCAACGAAATGAAACAAACCTGTGTTGATCAACAGTTTGAATGAACGTGAACCCTGAGATGAATGAATTGGGAGTGACCTTGCACCATCAATTTATACATGCGTAGAAGACTGAAGGACCCGCCACTAAGGGTGAAAGTGTGAAATGACGTTAAAAGATTTATGAGGCTGAGGCGGAAGAGCATTGTTATTTTTCAAAATATTTGGTAAGACTGGCCAGTCGTTTTCCGTGCAATAGATGCTCTATTTTTCTTGTCCTCGTATAATATAAATTCGGCACCAATTAATTAATAAGGAGCTGGGATTTGTAGGTGTTCGTGACAATAAATTTTAAGGTATGTTAGAGATATAGAGTTTCAATGTAAATAAGGTTTTCCAAACTTTTTTATTACAGTTTGTCCGGATGCAAGGATATAATTGATAGAAGAACGTTATTTGATTAATGGTGTAAAGCTATATAGAGTTATAAAAATTACAACAAAATTGAGAAGAACAATAAAATTTTGGATGTGCCATAAACGTAATGTCTCAATATAAGTAAGGATTCTCAAGCCTTTTCACCACAATTTGTCCAGATGCAAATACGCAATAGATAAAAGAAAGTGGTTTAATTAACGGTGTAAAGCTATACGGAGTTAGAGAATTACAAGAAAATTAAAAAGCAAAATTAAATTTTTACAAAGTGATATAAAAGATGAATTGAGCATCAAAATGTTTGAATTGTTTGTTATTCGCTACTACCTTCTTCTTTTAACTGGAGCTCTATTTATAAGGCTTGTTTGAGGTCGTTGTGTCTACCAAACTAGGAGTTTGGATGCTTCATGCTGGAATATCTATTCCTACTAGGCTTGGTCTCACGAACTTCAAGACATGTCTAAGTAATTGTTTCACATCCAAATAACAGCCTTCTTGACTTAATTATTCTAAATTTTAAAGGTCACATTCCCTTCATGGCACAATATCTATTTAGTTTGAAAGGTTTATTTTCAATGGGTTAGACTCTATTTCAATAAACGACTTATCAGGCCTAACTCTTCGTTTGCACTATTTTGGACTTTTTTTTAACCCGTTATTGTGGCCTTTATTTAAATGTAGATATTTAAGTTCCAAATGATAAGATTAAATAGATGCTTGGTTGTGGCACACGAGAGACATTAGGTGGCTTTAAATGGGAGATTAATGGTTGGGTGGGGCAGAGCCAAAAAAAAAAGAAAAAAAGTGAGCCCATGGTTGAGTTTATGCAGGGGCTTGGAATGTTACAAAGCAAGGAAAAAGGAGGCATAATCTCGAGACAGGATTTACAAGATAAAGTTTAGTTTATTTTGGGTAATGGAATATGAACATTGATATCGCCGTTATCTATGATTTTATTTTTATTTTATGTACTGTAAATGCTTGTCCTGTAACAGCCGAAGGGAAGATGCCATTTTACGTCCAAAATACTTTCAAGTCGAATAAGTCGTCCACTAAGTCTAAGGACGGCGGTTTATAATTATGCGAAATTAAAGATGCAAAACCAAAGTGCAGTACTGCAAAATATCGTCCGTCCTTGCACAGGGAACCAGACGCTTTATTCGTTGGGTAAGAATCCAATATCCATTATCATATGAATTAGGCTTTTACGATACCCACGTGCATGCAAGGCATCGGGCTCCATTTTTTATTCGTTGTTGGCATCAGGATTCCCTCACTAGTGCGTTCACAATCTGATTCTCCGCAAGCACCGGCCATTTCCGAGTCGTCATCTTTTTTAATCAAGTAAAATGAACATCTCCCTTAGAATATTGAGAGTAATCAATAAACATTTACCAACTAAATTGCTTCATGTACAAGAATTCGGGTCGATTTGAGTCATCTGTTTAGAATTGACTGGACATCCTGCATTTCTATGTCATCGTATCAAATAATGTTAGTCAAAAGGTTTGAATAATTTGTTTCATGTGACATCATTTAACCTCAAAACGTTCAAGTGCCTCTACATTTTGATAGTTGATTCTGATAAAGTGTGTTGAGGGGTTGTACGTTCCCCAGCCACACATTATAATGGCTTTCAAGTTGTGAGACTGTCAAATTTAAATTTTAAACTTTCCATGATCCAGCATCATGTTTCATACTTTTACAAGAGACGTATTTATTGTCCATAAGAATAAACACTAGAATTGAAACTATTATCATAATAATGACATAAATAAATATTAAAAATATAAAAATATCATTATCATTGTTCATAAATTTTTATGAATTATAATGTTTTATATTACATATTGATATGATAATTTTTTTTTTTGGTGAAATAATATTATATTGATTTTGTTCAAGAAAGACAGAACCTGCTCTGAGGCCTCAGTTGGGCCATTCATTTGGATTATTGACCGTACGATGGCCTATAGGCCATCAGGAATTTATCATCCGAAATTGGCCCAAAATAAAAAAAACACCTGGATTTTTTTTTGGGTCAAATAAACCCTTCGGAAATCAGAACTGGCCTCCTGGGAATTGCATCGAAATCGGTCCAAAAAATTGTTACAAAACATGGGAGAAAACGCTAGCAACAGGAATGCTGGTTAGTTAAGAGAAATTGCCGAGGAAGGATCCGTGCTGCCTTTCTGCGGTCTCAAATTGTGCATATAAAATGTTACACGCTCCGTTAATACCAACAGAGACCTTGCCATTTATGTTTTTTTTTAATTATTTCTAATCTAGCTTTTATTCATTAAAAGAAAGAAAGAAAGAAAGAAATGCACATAATACATGTTGTGTCGGGTTCAAACCTAAAATCTCTTTTAAAAAGGAGAAATGCTATTGCCATTAAAACAACTAACCATTAACAAACCTTACCATTTATTTAATAACAATAACTGTTGAAATTACGTAAAAAAAAAAAAAGACCTTGCTACTTTACGAAGATTAAAATAGTTAGTTGGTTTAGTTAAAAACATTAAATATGCGAATAACTGATGGCACTTCATCGAAAATGCCTTTGGAAGAACGCTTTTAATGTGAAAACACCCATTAATTAATGATTTTTTTTCGACCCAACTTTAGCTTATTTCATTAAAAAATATTTTTAAAAAAAATTATTCTGTGAATTTTAATTATTTAAAATTTAAAAAATAATCAAAATTTTAAAAAATATATTTATTATTTTAAGAAACTACTTTGAATACTTTTTGAAAATAATTTAATACAGTAAATAAAATAGAGTATTTTAAAGAGGTGGGATGTGTAGAGATATTACAAATTTTTAAATTAATATAATAATAAATTATTTTTACAAAATAAAAATCAAAAAACATATCATAAAATTTAAAAATAACAAACTGACAATCACTATTTTATTGTAATTAAATATAAAATAATGTCTACTTTTTATAAAATAAATATATTTTTATAAAATTTTTAAATTATCTAAAAATCAATTATTTTTCAATCTCAAACCGATGAGCCCTTAATTAATTGATTGACTTTGTTGAATTAATAGAGACAAATTTGGAGAGAAAAAACACAATAATAAATGAGATAGATAATAATAGAAGAGGTACTCTTCTGATCTTATTTATAAGATAAAAAAATTTTTGTTATATTTATAAATTAGCGGGTTAATTTTTAACACTTTTTTTTTACCCTCCATTAAACGTTGGAGAGTGAAATTATATTATTGAAGTATATATATTTAATAGAGGTAAAGTTAAGAATTTATTAAATTTTAATATGAGTTTATGAGTTTTAATATTTTCTTTAATTTCAGTGAAACATATTAAAGATAATTTATAAATAAAATCGGATGAGTACTCCTTTTATAACTTCCAACAAGCTTTACCAAAACCAAGAATAATTTTAAATTTTATTAACTTTATCTTAAAATTTAATAAATTTTCATCTTTACCCCCTAATAAAAATAAAAAGAATTATTTTTATATTTTTTAGTATTTAATAATGACAAAAAAGTAAAGATAAATACAAAAAATAATGAAGTGACATGTATAAACAGGATAAAAAATAATCTTCTTTTTATCTTATGAGTAAAATCAGAGGAGTATTATATTTAGAAATGAGTCAATGTTGATAAAATTCTTGGGACAATTGACAATTGACAAGGAAACTCCTCGCTCCATTACAAACATGAGTTTTTTTGAGAAACTTGCTTACATTTTAGAAGCCCGGAATCATTATTTACTAGCAAGATTTTTTATTTATCTATTCCAGTGACTCTAATTTATTCAACATACATTAATTAGGGTGCAAGTTCGGCATTATAGTCAATATTCTTATAACACTGAGAAGAGAAGATGAGAGAACAAGGGAATGGGAGAATTAGAAGTATTTTTATTTCAATGTGTAGAACATAATTGAAATACTTTCTATTCATAGATATACAGATAAAATAAAAATATAAAACATAATAATAATTAAGAGATATTGGAGAAATTGAAAGATATTAAAAAATCTAAAAGATATGGACATTCATATAATCTTCTAATATTTATAATAATTCTAATACATTAATTGCATTTTTAATATGTGTGTGTTTTTTTTGGCCAATAAAAAATTTCATTCAACAAAAAGAGGTCAAGCCCTCAAAAACAACAGTACAAGGAAATTAAACAAGTGCTGCAATTGAAAAAGCAGTGATAGAAAATAAACAACAGACAGAATCTAAAGGAACATGTAACAGTAAATTAATTTGCCAATGCCTTCACGTTTATCCGCCAACACAATCTAGCCTTCACTTGGTTGTGACATTCTCAAATCCTAAAAAAGAAAGAGAGCAAGAGAAGATGGTGTTCAGGACACCCAACCTAAAGGTTCCACCTCCTTTAAAGCTAATCTTGCTAAGTGATCTACAGGTTGATTGTCTCTCCTAGAAACAAGAGAAGGATACCATTCCAAATGACTCGATCATATCCAACAAGTCATTGACCAACGTGTTGTATTGCCAAGCACAAGAACATTACAATCTAAGTGTGCAAATGTTGAATGCTTCAAGGCAATCTATTTCAAAAATGCATTTCACACCAAGCCAAGATTGGGCAAGCATAGCAGCCCTTTTGATAGCACATACTTTTGCCAGGAACCCAGAATCCACGCACACTTGATCTGGCCAACCTCTTTGGAAACTCTTATCAAAGTCATGTACTACTATTCCTATATCAGCCTTCCTATCCATTTTCCTATAAAGCCACCCTATCACAGTTGAATTTCACACATCCGATAGGAGGTTTTGTCTAAAAAGTTGCTTATCAATCTAGCTTACTAATATCAGTAGCCTCAAGAAGACTGTTAGCCTCCCAAAATTCATGAAGACTTGTATTAGTCTTTATTATAAGTTCCCATGGGTTTGGAGGATCATCCTTAAAAAATAATCCTACACCTAAACTTCCACATATGCTAGCAAAACCATAAGATATATGCCTTCCCATATTCATCTAAAGTAGAGTCATCACATAATAAGTGAGATAACTAGCTCTTAATATCAAGACCAGATGTAAAATCTATTTATAAACCAAGAAAACAACTAAACCATGCATATTTCACCCACCCACAAAAGAGAAACAAATGATTTAAAGTTTCAGGGGCATGTCCACAGATACTACACACAAGATGTTGTTTACAGTGTTTCCTAAACAAAGCATCATTAGTTGCTAGTGCAGAATGCAACAATCGCTAGACAAAACATTTTAGTTTTTGGAGTTACATGGACATGTCAAAGATGTTTCCATACCTCTGTATTTTGCAGTTTCAAACTAGAAGGGGTCAATCTCTTCCACTCTACTTTGTAAGCACATTTTATTTCATATATTCCTGATTTAGAACCAAACCATATTAGCTTATCTGGTTTCCTAAACTCAAAAATGGGAATATTCTCTATTAATTTCAGCATTGCATCTTCAGTGTGGTCCCGGATAAGACTTAAATCCCACCTTCTATTAGACATAAGTGATGCCACATCCAATTCCTCATTAACTATTACACCAGGCTGTCTAGTAAGCTTAAAGTTAGGAGCACTAGGGATCCATGGATCTTTCCAAACTCGAACATAAGTCCCATTTCCAACCTGCCAACACAAATCCTTGACCATTAGTTCTCGACCTAATAAAATGCTATCCCAGATCCATAAAGCTCTAGGCCCCTTGACCGCATTAAGGAAAGAACAATGTGAAAAATAAGCACTTTTCGATACCTAAACCCATAAGTTATCTGGTTGTTGCAAAATACGCCATACTGTTTTTGTTAATAGAGTCACATTGAAACCTATAAAATCTTTAAATCTTAGCCCACCTTTATTTTTAATATGTGTGTTAAAACCTTAAAAGATTTATGTATGAAATGGATGGAATATTTACTAATACTCGAACAATTTAAAAAATAAACAAATGAATTCACAGTATTCTTTTAGATTAAAAAAAAGGGAGTCTTACACTTAGATAAAGTATAGGAGTTAATAGCAGTTCGACACAGCGAGTATTCAGAATAGCATTACATGGAATGGACAAACTTTATTATTATTATTATTATTATTATTATTATTATTATTATTTTGGTATTTAACGAGAATGCATGCTGAGTTCGGTAGGATGCCAACTCAGAGCGAAAAATCCACGCCGCAATCAGTGGCCTAGGAGTTAGGATATATCATCACTTTGCCCTTTCATTCATTTATTTGTTATCTGTGAGCACTCATTGCGCCTTGCTTTACTTGACACCACGGCAGAAGATTTTTCTCTTCTCAACCGACAGAAAAGTCTTTAAAAATTGTCATGCTTCCCTATCCTAAATTACAAAATACTTTTTTAAAAAAAATTAACATTTTAAAATATAAAATATTTTAATAAAAATAAAATTTTATTAGTAATATCTTTTTTAATATTATTCTTTTCATGTATTTTTTTAATATTTTTTTATTAATAGATCATTAAATGAAAGATATTTTTAAAATTTATATTTTTATCTTGAAAAAAGCAAGGTTGTAAAATATATTTGATGAGTTTTATTGATATATGAAATTTTATTTAAAAATATTTTATAATTTAAGATGGGATAAAGCATTAAATTTTCAAGAGTAAGCTAATTAAATTTCTTTATCGTATTGTAATTTGCATACATTCATTCATCAGATTATCACGAAAGACTGAGAAGAACGAGAGGGAATATATATGCAGAAGCAATTTACTAATATACCGAGTTTTATGACTTTTACCAAACCCGTCTCCCTTAAATGATAAAAAATTAAAAAAAATTCATATTGGTTTTGGCAATCGCGAATTTCACTGTAATTTTTTAAAATTTACCAGTATTTTAAGAAATAAAATATTGAGTTGGAAGAACATTGATACATCACATGATTCTCAGGGAAAACCACACATAAGGACCCGACACCAGCTTTATTATTCAAGCATGTGGAATAGTTTATTTTAGGGCCACCAAGAAGAATTATGTAAAACCCTTGTTTCAACGTTACTGTTGGCAGGAGGGATGTGCAGAGGTTTGATTGCCCTATCCAACCTAATCTAATTTAAATAAGTTTGGTCTCATTTATTCTAAAAAAAAAAATTTAAAAGAATAAAAAGATGAAAAAGATTAAATTAACTTATTAAGTTAAATTGAACAGGAGACCAAGCCCTTAAATTATTTGATCTAACATGTCTTATTAAATTATTTTAATATAATTTTAATTATTTTTAATATATTTGAATGGTTTTAAATTTGAACGTAATATTACTTCATTTACATTTCACCCTTCTATTTAAGATAATTTTAATTTAATTTGTTATTAAATTATTGTTGTAATGTAAATTAAACATGTTGCTAAAGTTTGTTGAATGTTATTTTTGAAGTTATGCATTTACATGATGTGAATTGTAATTGAAATATTTGTTGTTATTGTTCTTAAAGATTGTTATTGATTTTTTATGCCAATAAGTATTTTTATTATTATAATTGAATTTATCAAGATGAAATGAATTTCTCTCGTACAAGAAAAAGAAAGAAAAAAAGTTAAGTGAGTACTGAACTATTAAAATCAATATCGTAACCCTATGAATCAAATTCGATCTTATTAATTTTTGAGTTACAATCGGACCAGATTGAATTATGTATTGCCTAACCCAGTCTTTCTTATGAAAGAGATCAAACTTTAAATTTAATCAAAGTCCAGTTTGTCCAATTTTTTGTGTAGCCTTAATTGTAAATTTAAGTAAACTTGTGACATGGATATAAACCCATATTGTAAACTTATAAGAGTTTACATCTATTAATAAATAATCATTAAAAATATATAATTAAATAATTAACATATAAAATATGATCATGATTTAAATATATTTTAGATATAAATTATTAAAATTAAATCCATCTATATTAACATATTATCATGATTAACATAGAAATTTCAAAAGTAGGCTGCTTGTTTTTTTTGTATTTCTTATTTTTATTTTTATATTAATATTATGTTTTGCTTTTTTGAGTTTTATCTTTATTTGAATCAGATCCTACTATTTTTATATATTGAGTTATACATAGTATATATCTAATTCTCTCAACCCAATAAAAAATTAATGAGTTTAGCAAAGTTTACATTTATTTTAAGTTTATGAATAAATTACTACAACTTTGTAAATTAAAAATATAAAAACAATAAACTTAGAAAATCAATTTGCAAATTTACTTAATTTATATCTAGTTTGAATTTATAAATAAGTTAATATAATTTTATATGTTAAAAATATAAAAAAGTAATAAATTTAGATAGTTAACTTAAGAGTTTAACAATAATCTTACAAGTACATTTTAAATTTTTAATACATTGATGTGTTATTTTTAGTTTTTAGATATTTGTAAAAAAATTTCGTTTTCGAGAATATTTTTAGTATTAGGGTTAAGGGCGGGCATCTCTCCATAAATTTCCCGGATTCTTATTCTTAGGGAAGGACGAAAGAAATGAGAAAGATGAGACCGAAAGGCCAATGAGAGATGCCTTATGCTATGCCCAATGATAGCGAGGGAGGAAAGTAAGAACGAGAAGCAAAGTGAGGAAGTCGAGGGGGCTACAACGACAAGTGTTGGGAGCTATCATTGATGAAGGAAACAACTCTTGCTTTTCGACAATTAACCAGCATTTACAGTGCCGTAGGCTGATTACTTCAAGTAAAATTGATAGCCCACCATCGAAGATAATCAAGACACAGGAGGATTAAAGGTGACGACGCTTTACGACACATTGTAGTACGTCTCGGCAATAAACAGACAACGACGATAAGGGCTTTCTCTCTTCAATCCTCGCCAAACTACATTCTCTCCTTTGTAAAGTATCATGGCCGACGGATGGCGTCCTTGAACTCTACTCTTTTCCAGAGGCCATACAAATAACATATCACTGGAATCCATAGTTTTGACAGAAATGGCCAGAAACATGGAGCTGGCTCTGTTATTCCTTGGTCTTGCTTACGCTGTTTCTGGGTTTCTTCTCGATGCATCCGAACCCGAGGGACACTCTGTGTTTTCTTATATAGAAAACGATATCGTCACCGCACACTCTCCTTCATCCTCCCAAGCTCTCATGGTCGACCTCACTCTCATCGAAGCTGCTGCATCTAAAGGGGCCGGTATCTCTCTCTCTCTCTCTCTCTCTCTCTCTCTCTCTCTCTCGTTTTTTAGATTTTCTTCTCTTTCTTAATTTTCTTGTCAATCTAAATGCCTGCAGTGTTTTTGGCTTCACCCATCAGCTGCATTGTGCATTAAACTCCCAAATGGTTTCTCCATCTCTGCAGTTCTTGCTCGTTTTTTATTGTTGTGTGAGTGATTGAAGATTTTTAGACGTCACTTCCTGTTTAAATTAGGTTTCTAATATTCCATTGGTTATCTAAAATGATTCCTTTCCTTCTCTCTGGACTTTCCTTAGAATCTTGCACATCTTCTTCAGTTCTCTAATTTTTCCATTTCTTGATTTTCTTCGACCAACAATAAATCGATTGATTCTTCGCGCTAGGATTTCTCAGCTGAAAGAATTTTCTACCTCTTGAGACGGATTTTATTTTGCTAGATTGTATTATGCACGTGTTTTTCTGAGTTGTTTATAGTGAATAGACAAACCTAACCTGTTTAAAGGCTGTCTCAAAGTATAAAGTTTCTGGTTAAATTTTATACATTTGTCTGTCGTATTGTCAGTGTGTTTGGACGGAACACTGCCTGGTTATCATTTGGATCCTGGATTTGGATCAGGTGCAAATAGTTGGCTCATTGAATTGGAGGTATACTATACAATCTCCCATTTATTCATCTCGAATCGACCTTACCATTTCCCCCTTTTTTGGGGAAAAATTGGAAATCCCTCACTAGCTGTTATTCCTGATGCAGGGTGGAGGATGGTGTAATAACATCAGAACTTGTGTTTATAGAAAAACTACTCGTCGTGGCTCCTCAAACTACATGGAAAAGCAAATACCATTCTCGGGAATATTGAGCAATAAAGCTGAAGAAAATCCTGGTTTGGTTCCTCTTCTTATGCTACTCATGGATCCAAATGAAACCCCTGAGATTGCTTCCCATAAATACTTATGTATGCATATCCTCCGGGTCTTGTGTTCTGTGCGTAGATTTTTTCAACTGGAACCGGGTTAAATTAAGGTACTGCGATGGGGGATCTTTCAGTGGAGATAGTCAGAATGAGGTCTGTGAAATATACTTGGTCTTTCCCCTATATAATTTCTCATAACAACAATTAATTTTCCATGACAACTGAGCTATTGAAATTACATTCACTCAATGTGCTGGCAGATATCATAGTCTGCTATTGCGGACGATGATCTCTACTCACTTGTGTCATGCTGGCATCTCTTGCAGGTGGCTCAAGCAACATTACCTTTGATTTTAGTTAATTTCAAATATATTAGCCTTATGGTAGCAATGGAACCAGTAAATTTTCAAATTTTAACAAAGGCTGATACTCTATAGAGTTATTGAAACATGATTTTCCAAATTCTGTTTCTTTTTGCGAATCTTTTCCCTTTAGGAAGACATGTCTTTCCTATTGTGAAATTGTCTATTGAATAGAGTGCTCCTTATTTATTCTTTGGTGGCGTTGAGTTGGTTTTCACAGAAAAGTTCTTTGATTTCAGGTTTTATTATTCTAATGGTACATGCATTTGGTTCTCCTTTCAGGCTGCACAGCTTCAATTTCGAGGGCAAAAAATATGGCTTGCTGCTGTGGATGAGTTAATGTCCAAGGGAATGCAGAATGCTGACCAAGTAGGACATGTCTCTTTCTATTGTAGTTTGTTATCTTAGTGCTAAAGGATTCTAATTCACAGTAAAAAAAATAATAATAATTCAGGCTCTCCTCTCTGGATGCTCTGCTGGTGGTCTGGCAACCATAATGCATTGTGATGAGTTCAAGAGATTGTTTCAAAACTCCACGAAAGTAAAATGTTTGAGTGATGCAGGATTTTTTCTTGATGCGTAAGTTATATATGTTAATACACACTATTGCAGTGTAGCACGCATGCTCTTTACCTTGAAACTGCGACATCGTAAACAATTTGTTCAATCATGTAGAGCTGATGTATCTGGGGGGCGTACTTTAAGGAATATGTTTGCAGGTGTCGTTCAGTTGCAGGTGTGTTTTAATTTGCAGTGTGTTTGTAGAAGTAGTTGCAGTGTTTATCGATTGACCTTGATGTGAAGACCCATTCGCTACTACGTTTAGCATGAACTTTCCATTAGATTTTCACTTCTTCAGTTAAGGACATGCAAACAAATATATCACAGGACTAATTTGTTGATATTGTAGGAAGTACAAAAGAATTTGCCAGAAACTTGTCTCAACCAACTTGATCCAACTTCGGTAATTCTTTTATTCTGAATATTGTTCATTAGCAACTTAATATAACCAGGACAAGCAATATTGAAACTTTCGTGGACTCTCTTCAGTGCTTCTTTCCTCAGAATTTGGTCAATCATGTAGAAACTCCATTATTTCTACTTAATGCAGCCTATGATTCATGGCAGGTAATCAACATTGACATGATGCATTATTTCTTCCGGAATTGCGATGGTTATGAGTTGTAATTTTGTTGTCATTCTTGGTATTGGTTTCATCAGGTTCAAGCCAGTTTAGTACCAGCTTCAGCTGATCCCTATGGCTCTTGGAATGACTGCAAATCAAATCATGTAAATTGTAACTCATCTCAGATCCAGTTCCTCCAAGGTCATTCTGATCTGAACTCAGATGTGTATATCCGCATTAGTTGACGCGGCTCTGAATTTTATCTGATATCGTTTATGATATTCAATGCTTCTCCTGTGACGCAGACTTCAGAACTCAAATGCTGAATGCCTTGCAAGATTTCTCAAGTGAAGCTCAAACTGGACTGTTCATAAATTCTTGCTTTTCTCACTGCCAATCTGAGAGGCAGGAATTATGGTTTTCTGATGACTCTCCTCTACTTACGGGCAAGGTGTGTCCCACTTAGATTCCTATGCTCTTGAAACAGTTCGATTGGGTTATATGGTAGAAATGTCACGTTGGATGTTACATTTTTTATTATACAGCCTATTGCAATTGCTGTTGGAGACTGGTATTTCAATCGGGATGCTTTCAAGGCTATTGACTGTGCTTACCCCTGTGACAACACCTGCCATAATCTGGTCTTCAACTGACTCAATTTATTCGTGCTTTCATTCATTTGTCTGCCATTTTTCTTTCTTGTACATTTATTGTTTCCTTACTGAGAGGTCATTCTTGCCTGAGAATGCAAATTCATCAGATTCCGATTAGTCTATTCGATGAGATTTTTTTTTAGTTCCAGACCTTTTAATATACTCCTCTGATCTTATTTATAAATTACTTCTAACATGTTTCACCAATATCAACAAAAATTTTAAAATTTATTAACTTTGTTTTAAAATTTAATAAATTTTTAACTTTGCTCTTATTAAATATACATAATTTAATAACATTTTCTTTCTCCAACGTTCAATGAGGATAAAAAAGAAAATTTATAATAGAAATTTAGTGATGTGATTTATAAATAAGAAAAAAAAAATTTCTCTCTCTGGTCTCTCATAAATAAGATCAAAAGAGTATATTACTAATTGAACATTAGTGAAATGACCGCATGAGATTAATGAACCGTGCAAACTTGTGTTGTTCTGCTCCGCATATTTGTCCCAACTCTTAATCGAGGCGCATGGAGTTATTGCGGGCTCGCTGGGTTCTTATTTTTGCGATACGAATATTTATCTTTTGACACGTGTCTAAGGAGAATGGGTACACCCCATTCATCGTGGGCCTGTTAAGGTCCAACATGTGGTCGACGATGTCAATATCGAAATAATTGAAGTGGAAGTGAAAGCACCTTAAAATTTAACTGACCAGTCCGTAGTGGACCTGACATGTAGGAGGACATCGGCATGTAAACAAAATAAACCGCGTTATACCACTTGAGATAATCCTAAAATAATTCATTTTACTTGGTATCGGTTGATACTGAAATAAGACGATTACATGCTCACAATGCCACATATCCATGCTAAGCCTTGAGGGATCTTCGGTTCGCCAGACCAAATATTATTGATGAGATTGAAAAAACATTAAGGCTGATGCTTTAGAAAATAAATCAAAAATCATGACACTAGGGCTTGTTTGGTTTCTGCTCTATTTTTTATATTTTTAAAAAATATTTTGTAATACAGTTTTTAGAATTATTTTTCAAAAAAGATATAATGAAAATTTGTTTGGTTATATTAATTTAAAAACAGATTTAGAATTAAAAATTTGAGTGATAATGATGAATGCAGCCACTTAATTGTGGTGATTTATGATAGAAATTGATTAAGTTAACTATATTTTTAAATAATCAAATGTAGTGTGTTTTGAAAAAATAAAATAAAATAAAAACTACTTTAAGCTGCTTCCTTTTCTTGTTTTTAAAAACAAAAAATAAATGAGAATAATTTTAAAAACAATTAAATCTAACATACTCATCCAAACAAGTTTTTTAATTTTTTCTTGTTTTTAAAAACATAAACCAAGCACGTCCTGTTGACATCCCATCTAATCCCAAGCGGTCAGTGTAGGAGCTAGTTGGGGCTCGTTTTGTCCTTTTTTTGTTTCTAATTTTTTTTGCCACCATTTGTTTCCGACTATCTAACTGTACACGGTAATCTCTTCAGATTATAATATAAGGTAATTTTTAAAAATCTTGTTTCATTTAAAATATAGAGTATTGAGAAAGTTTTTTTTCATATATTTTCAATTTCAATTCCTTACTTTATTATACTTTACCTAAATAATTAATAAGAGTGTTTTGAATAAATCAAATATTATATTTATTTTAAAAAAGTACAATTGAAATGAAAATGTGTAAAAAAAATTAGAAAATAAAGATTTTAACCAATTTTCTTTTAAAAACGTAATTAACTGAGAAGGCTTATATTGGAGACTGGAGGAAGAATGTAGCAAGGAAAGTATTTACAATTCTCATTCATGTTGAACGCATGTGACTGTAAAAATCATTCAAAAATCGGGGGGTCGTTAGCCCAAGAATGGCAATGATGAGGACATCGAGGAACCGAAGTTTTCAATTGGTCCTTGCCCTGGGTTTCAATTTTGTCTAATTACATTCACCTTAGTCCTCAGGTGCGTAGTGCTGATTTTTTTTTTTTTTCTTGCCAAGGGTTTTAAATACTCCAGCAGGCTAGAGAGAGGTTAGCCAGTTTCGCACAAGACCGAGAAAAATGGAACCAGCATGTCTGCATTAGATCGTAATTGAGTGGACAAGTTATAATTAATTTAATATTTTTAAATAATATCTAAAATTATAAAATAAATTTCTTCATACCCATAAACTAATATATTAAAATAAAAAAATATTCAACAAAAAGATAAAACATTAATTTTTTAATAATTTAGGTTTTAATATATTTGAAAGAATAAAAATGTATTTGGTAGATTTCATCCTCTCCATATTTTAAGGGTATGAATAACATAAAGATTTTCATAAATATCAAATACCACTTAACAATATTAATTTAAATTTTTTAAAAAAATGTTTATCCTGCCTAGATGTATTAGATGTAGAGGGAAGCAATATTAGTGAAAGGAAAGGAAAAAAATTGGAGAGACCCCTCCATGTACACATAAAGATATCAGATGGGAAAGCTGGAGAGAAAGTGACATGGCGTGAGTGGGTCCCACTTATTCCGCTTCTCTCCCACACTGGAGAAGTTGGGGAATGTCAGTAGTACAGTAATCACACGAAGCAACATTCAAGAAAAACCCTGCACGTTGTATGCCCAAACTTGCCACACACTGCGTTTGTGTATAACTGTATATAGACAACGTTTCTTTTCTACTACAATATCAAGGCTTCATCTTCCCATCGTTTTCACGTACAACAGTATGGATATGTACATTGAGAAAGTGGGGTTCACTCGTCACTGGAAAAACGGAGAGGACCAAAACCCAACAAGCTCGAATCCCAAAAGGAACAAAATTAAAGGCGTCTCGTCTCATGATGAAAACTATAACCTATTTACAAGCTCATATACACAGGCGCACGCACACATGCCCGAATTAAACAAACAACATAAAATTGGGAGTCAATTGGCATGTTTGGAAGCCGACGCTATAGCCACGGCCTGTGCCCACACTCTGAGTCGTGCCTTCACGTCTCGCGGATCATCACCTAAAACCAGAGTTAAGAATAAACAGAATAAACATGAATTGAATGAAATGTTTAAGAAGTGAGGGTCCGTGATAATTATACCTGGACTAGAGATGCGCCAATTGGAGATGGGGGAATTGCCACCACTGCTAGCAGTATCGAGAGAGAGACGGGAAGGAACCTCCAGAACTCGCTCATGCTCCAACTCGAACCCAAGTTCTTGACACGCCTTCACTTCCCCCATGTCCATGCACAGTGATCTCCTTCCTCCTTTTGGCCTCGTTATCACCATCAACCCCCTCCCTTCTTCATTCCCCTCTTCCCTCTTCTTTCTCCTTGCTTTCTCACCACTCTTCTTCCTCCTCTCGCTGTCACTCGCGCAGTTCTTTCTCGCTTTCCTCCGTCGTGGGGGTGTGGCCGGCAACGAATAACACCCACCCAATTCGGTTTCAGAGTCCGAGGACAACCCGGTCGGCAGCTCTTTGCCTTCGTCGGCCAATTCCTCATCCGCATCACCTTCCCCTTCGAAACTTTCGATGGACAGGTTGGATAAGTACATGGTTAAGGCATTATCGTCGCCGTCGTCGGCACCGCACAAGGTACTGCTAGAGCAGACAGAAAGCCTGGACAAGTTATGGGGATGCTGATTTTGATCGAACCCTTCATCCATATCCGCATCGGCGAAGTCTTCCTCTTGAGATGAACAGTAAAAGGCCAGGGACTCGTAGGAAGACATTGGTATACTTTTTTTTTTTTCTTTTTTCTGAAAGACTTTTGATTGCTAGATGAAACAAAAACAAGTGAAAGGACCACGAGTTTTGATTTTTGGTACAAGAGAAAGTGAGGTCACGCAGAAGCAGTGAGTGAGGGTACTCGAGTGAAGAAAAGACGATTCGGCTGGAAGAGAGAGTCAATAGAACGGCATTTAGCGTTTGAAATTCTTCTCATGCGTTTCTCATGGCATTCCCAAGACTGGAGTGAAAAGGGTAAAGGAGTAAGGGGGCATCTTCTATCAGCCCCCTATTTATTCAATTTTTCGATTCGCCAGCTTTTACGCTTCTTATTTTTTTAAACATATTTTTGTTGCCCAATTAAAAACCGTCTTCTTCAACTTTTAATGGACAATTAATTCACAATCGACAATTATTTAAAGATTAATGGAGAGATAGAAATATTGAAGGCGGTGGGGTGACGTCGGTTGAAATTTACAAGAGAAAATTGACCATCTGACTGACGGTCAGTCGAGCGCGTAGTAAGAATAGAGTTTCGGACAACTATTCAGGATGCTCGATTTAGACTACAGTAATTTGTTAAATCATTCAGGATTATTAACATAAAAAATAAATATATTTTATTTTATTGAGATGAAACGCTTACTGCACGCGGATATCACATTAGGAACAAAATTGACAATTAAACGCCAATCCCCTTTTCAATAGAGTGTGCAAGAGAGGCCACGTAACCCTGCCAGGGGCAAAGACTGAAAAAGATGGTGTATTATAAAGAAGAAAATAGAGGGAAGGGGCACCCATGTTAGCCAAGTTTAAAACACCGTCGGCGCTTTTTAAACTTTTTTAGGTTTAATAAACCATGTTTATCCACAACTTTAAAAACAAATAAATACATCAACGTTGATCAACGCAGGATTCAAATCTTCAAAAGAGCCAATAAGAGCCGAATTGTGACGAGATGTAGATGACTCTTGCGCTGCATGGGTTTCGGCTGGCATCAAAACGACCTAGTTTATTTTTGTTTTGTATGAGCCGATCTGGTACCTCGTTGCTTTACTAGATGGCTGCTTATTCCCCGTGCAACTCAGCTGACATGAATTCCACCCCCTCTCCCTTTTCACACGATTAGATACTTGTCCGCGTTTTTTCCACCTTCTCTTTTTATAAAATACTCGCACTCGCACTACTAACTGCTACTCTTTTTATTTTATTTATAGGTAATTTTTAATATATTTTATCAATATTTAAAAAAAATTAAAATTTATTAACTCTATCTTAAAATTTAATAAGTTTTTAACTTTATCTTTATTAAACATATATATTTTAATAATATATTTTTTCTCTTTAACATTTAATAAAGGATAAAAGAAAAAATTTATGATAAAAATTTTAATGACATGAATTATAAATAAAATTAATTTTTTTTTTATTTTGTAAATATGATTAGAGGGAATAATGTTTTCGGTAAAAAAATAAAAAATAAAAAACAGAGTGCAAGCAGGTGAACAGGATTTATCCATCACTTTCAGTGGCCGGGGCGACGGCAACGTGAACACTTAACACTTAAGACACCCAACGGCGCCAATCTCCGCTCGCTTCATGCACATAACAATGCCACGTGGCTGTATCACTGGGCGCCCAACTGATCATAAATGTCATTCCACCCTTCGAGAAACTGAAGAATGACTTTAGGAGTGGGTCCCCTCCCATTCACTCTCTCTTTCTGCAGTGGCACGCTCGGTGGCCGCTCATCCCCCTGATATTTCAGTATTTTCTACATTTTTTTAAGCCACCAATTTTTCTGTGTTTCTGATTTCCCTTTGATGCCTTATTCTTGATTTTCCTGGTGCGATCACATCGACAATAATTCGCTTCTCCTCTTGAATTATTTTGTGTGTAATGTTATATCTTATACGAATGAATCTGTTGTAAAAACAGGGGGGGAGAGAGAGAAGATATTGGACGTGTGTTGGATTAACTTGACCGTTGGATGTTTACACGTGGCTATGCTAGGAGATTTGAGCGAGTCTCGCATTGTCTCCTCTCTCGCACGTTGCGAGTTTGGTTTCACAAATTATTCAAGTAACGGTTCTGCGGATTTGAGAGGGGAAATTAGTGAGGAACATGCGGTGAAGAGAGAGTGGGGACCATGCTGCTTTAGGAGGCCAAGAGGGAGTTTGGAGTCGTAGTCCAAGGCTGGGTAACGAACTCAACCCACACAGGAGGAGTTGATTATTGATTGCCCAGATTTGAGAAGTGCGTAGGCATCCCCACCGCACCATGTGGACCTCCATCTTGTCCATTCTCGTACAATCTGCTTTCCAAAAACTGTCATCTCAAAATCTTTTATTATTTACCATCAAGATTCTGTTTTCCCGCAAAGCAAATCTCGTGAAAGAAACATGAGATGGGTGAGAAATTTAGCCAAGAAATGCAATTCTAGTGTGATGTTTTTTTCCTCGTCCGAGGTAAAGGAAATATGCAGGTTGTGGTAATCTTTTTTCTCGTCGCCAGTTAGTTATTAGTTGTGAGTAGTTTTGGACAAGTTCTGTAACTCGAATATTAGCCATGTTGTTCGCTTAGCTGCTGGAGGGCTAGCTGCAACTAGCTTTTGTGTGAAGGATTTTTGAGATAACGTTTGTTAATGTGTGGGAAGAAATTTTTTTTGTTACGTCATTGTATAATATAATGTTTTTATGTGGGACAGTCGTGGTGGCAATTCATTAGATCTACTGTTTTATTTAAATTCAATTTGGAATTTCCGTGATGTGTAATTCACAAATTTGTGAATTGCTACTATTTTTAATTTCAAGGGTGATTTCCATTAAATTACATGCCCGGGTAATTGTGCGTGTTTTTGAAAAGCATCTACCAAAACGTTTCTCTCTGTGAAGAGTGTGAGAGTTGTGAGGTTTCTCTTCACGAAGAGCATGAGAGCAAGAGTCTTTGCATTGCTGGTTGGAGGTTGTTGTGGTGGTTAAGGTGGTGATCGAAGGTGGAGATGGATGATTGTAATGAAGATGATGTAGTAGATCTTCCTTTAATTTGGAAGATAAGACACAATAAGGAACAATCAAGAGCAATTTTGGCTGGAATTTTGGTGGTTGATCGGAATATGAATCGTGTGACTGTAATTTCAATGATCAGAAAGGCCTGGAACTTGGTTGATGGCCTGGATATAATTGAAGTTCGCAAGAATTCTTATACATTTCGCTTTGATTCAGTGGATGAATGTCAACGGATTCTTTGAGGATGTCCTTGGACAATTAATAATTGTTTGTTGAATATTCAAGAATGGCATCGGTTTGGCATTTTTGAAGTATTAGATTTTACAAGGTCGTCGATCTAGATTCAGCTTCATGATGTGCCATTGGAAGCTATGAATGTGAGTAATATGATCTTGTTGGGAGGAAAGGTTGGTGAGGTAGCAATGGTGGAGGACCCAAAGGTTGGCGGTAGAATGTTGCAATGTTTCCTTCATATTTGTGTGACATTGGATCTGAGTAAGCCTTTGAGATCAAGTTTTTGGATTTTGAGACTTGATGGTAAGAAGGTTTGGGTCACAATGAAGTATGAAAAGCTTAATGACTATTGCTATAGATGTGGATGCATTGGTCATGACCATAGATCGTGCTAGAAGATATGGCAAATGTTTGTTCTTAATCTAAATGTTGCTCGCTATGGTCCTTGGTTGACTACTCTTGTTATATGTATATGGGAGGATGCATTACAAGTAGTGAAAAGGATTGGCCTGAGGGTAGTCAGAGAAGGAATTTTAAGAATTTTGGCCATTGGAATAGTTTAGTTAGGCAAGAGAATCAGAGCAAAGGATAGAAGGAGAAGGGCAAAAGTGAGATGGTGACAGATTATGCTTTTCCAAAAGCAAGTATGGATAAGTGGAAGTCAATTACTGATATGGAATCAGATAAAGGTGGTTTGAAGGGGATAGAGGTGCAAAAGAGTCAGCAGGAAGTTAGTGAAAGTTTAGGTTATCAATCTTGGACTGATCAAATTAATGACCAGGTTTAAGCCTACGATGAGAAATTGTTGAAATTAGGCCCAATTAAACCTGGTCCTTTGAGAATTGGATATCTGGAGAAATCTTCTTCTAATGAAAATAAGAAAGAGGTGATGAGTTAGGGTAAAGAGAAGGAACAAGTATAGAACTCAAGATCGATAATTCATTGAAGGAAGCTGATTCAACTGCTATTGCTTTGACAAAAATTATAGAGAAGTTTTAACAAGTTGAATTAAAGAGGAAAAGAGTGATTGAGGTAGAACATGAAGTTGTTAAGAGAAGGAAGGTTGAGGTGGAACTTTATCAAGAGATGACTTTGTGCCCACCTTTTATTGAAGGATTGAAAGAAGGAACCACTAGGTCTAGAAAAGGCTATGGGGCATGTATTTCAATGGTCAAGAGAGAGTTGAGGAAGAAGCAACAGCCTTATATGGAAGCTTCTCTTGAGATAAATGAAATTTAGAATGATAGAGGTAATCAATCTTTATCGAGAGAGGGATTGAGGGGTGTGAATGATCTTAATTTGGCTGGAGGTTTAGATAGTTGTCTTATAACAGCCATCAAGGGGTTATAAAGATTCTATCTTGGAACTGTCAAGGTTTGGGGGTTGCCTTGATAGTAAAAAATTTAAAGGATTGCTATAAAAAATTTAAATCCTCAATGATTTTTCTTGTGGAAACTAAGATGAATAGGAAAAATCTTGAAAAAATTAAAAGAAAGTGTGGTATGTTGTTTGGATGCATGTTGACCCAACTGGTAGGTCTAGTGGTTTGGCATTGTGGTGGGTAGAAGATATGAGTGTCAATGTTTGGTTTAGCTTTAAAAATGTTATTCATGTTTCTACTTCCTCTACTTCTGATAATTGTCCTGATTTTATCTATTTCATTTATGGTCCTACTAATAAAAAGGATAGACTTGTTGTCTAGAATAGAGTCAAGGCTTTGGCAAGAGGTGTTAAAGGTCCATGGTTATGTGATGGGGACTTTAATGACTTAGTTTTACAATCAGAGAAAGCTAGGGGTAGACTAACAGCAGTAAGAAAAATTTTGAATTTTCAAAAATTTCTCTCTGATTATGATTTGATGGATTTGGAATTTAAAGGATCTATATTTATTTGGAGCAATAAATGTTTAGGAGCAGCGCATGTTAAAGAAAGGATTGATCGTGGTTGTGGAAATGGAGAGTTTCGTGAAACTTTTAATAATGCCCAAGTTTTCTATATAGAACCAG